CCCCTGCTTTTTTTTTGCTCTCCATTTGCTTGGTAAATCTTCTTCCACTGCTTTATTTTGAGTCTATGTGTGTCTTTGCATGTGAGATGGGTCTCCTGAATACAGCACACCAATGGGTCTTGGCTTTTTATCCAGTTTGCCAGTCTGTGTCTTTTGATTGGGGCATTTAGGCCATTTACATTTAATGTTAATATTGTTATGTGTGAATTTTATCCTGCCATTTTGTTACTGGATGGTTGTTTTTCCCATTATCTGACACAGTTTCTTCATTGCATTGTTGATCTTTACCATTTGGTACATTTTTGTAGTGGTTGGTACTGGTTGTTCTTTTCCATGTTTAGTTCTTCCTTCAGGAGCTCTTGTAAGGCAGGTCTGGTGGCAACAAAATCTCTCAACAAAATCTCTCAGCATTTGTTTGTCTGTAAAGGATTTTATTTCTCCTTCACTTATGAAGCTTAGTTTGGCTGGATATGAAATTCTGGGTTGAAAGTTCTTTCCTTTAAGGATGTTGAATATTGGCCCCTACTCTCTTTTGGCTTGTGGGGTTTCTGCTGAAAGATCCCCTGTGAGTCTGATGGGCTTCCTGTGTGGGTGACCTGACCTTTCTCTCTGACTGCCCTTAGCATTTTTTCCTTCATTTCAACCCTGGTGAATCTGACAATTATGCACCTTGGGGTTGCTCTTCATGAGGAGTATCTTTGTGGTGTTCTCTGTATTTCCTGGATTTGAGTGTTGGCCTGCCTTGCTAGGTTGAGGAAGTTCTCCTGGATAATATTCTGAAGAGTGTTTTCCAGCTTGGATTCATTCTCCCCATCACATTCAGCTACACCAATCAAGCATAGATTAGGTCTTTTCACATAATCCCATATTTCTTGTAGGCTCTGTTCATTCCTTTTCACTCTTTTTTCTCTAGTCTTGCCTTCTTGTTCTATTTCATGAGTTGATCTTCAAGCTCTGATACACTTTTTTCTGCCTGATCAATTCGGCTGCTGAAACTTGTGTATGCTTCACAAAGTTCTCAGGCTGTGTTTTTCAGCTCCATCAAGTCATTTACATTCTTCTCTAAGCTGGTTATTCTAGTTAGCATTTCATCTAACCTTTTTTCAAGGTTTTTAGTTTCTTTGCATTGGGTTAGAACATGTTCCTTTATCTCAGAGAAGTTTTTTACTACCCGCCTTCTGAAGCCTGCTTCTGTCAATTCATCAAACTCATTCTCCAACCTGTTTTATTCCCTTGCTGGTGAGGAGTTGTGATCTCTTGAAGGAGAAGAGGTGTTCTGGTCTTTGATGATGTCATCCTTTTTGCACTGGTTTCTTCCCATCTTCATGAGTTTATCTACCTTTGATATTTGAAGTTGGTGATTTCGGTTGGGGTCTCTGAGTGGACATCCTTTCTGTTGATGTTGAAGCTATTTCTTTTTGTTTTGTAGTTTTCCTTCTAACAGTCAGGCCCTTCTGCTGTAGGACTGCTAGAGGTCCACTTCAGACCTTGCTTCCCTGGGAATCACCCACAGAGGGTGAGGAGCAGTGAGGATTGCTGCCTGATCTTTCCTCTGGAAGCTTCATCCCAGAAAGGTACCCACCAGGTGTCAGGCTGAGCTCTTGTGTATGAGGCATTTTTTTGGTTATTCAGGGGTCAGGGAGCCACTTGAGGAGACAGTCTGTCCCTTGTCTGCCTGCAGAGGCACTGTTGTGCTGCCTCGGCCTCAGCCCAGCTGCTGTGAAGGCTTCCTCTGGCTTTTGTTTACACAGGTGAAATTAGACCTGCCTTCACAACGGCAGATGCTCTTCCCACCACAGAGCTTGATCATCCTGGGTCAAGCTCAGACTGATGTGCTGGCTGCAAAACTCTCAAGTGAGAAGGCTTCAGTTTGCTGGTCTTTGTAGGGGTGGGACCTGCCAAGCCATATCACCCATCTCCCTGCTTTCAGCTCTCCCTCTTCCTGGGGAGCAGGTAGATCTGTCTTGCAGGCGCTCTTGGCACTAGTCAAAACTTCCACCCAGATCTGTGCTGACAACTCATGGCACCAGGCCAGTCAGAGTGTCACTCAGATCTGTGTTGGTAACTTGTGGTGCTTTTCAACCTGGCGGCATTCTCCTGGACTCTGGGTTACAACAGCCAGGGGAGAAGTTCAGTATCTGAACCAGAGAGCCAAGGGGGTAAAGTCCCCAATCCTCCATCCAGTTGCACTTCCAGGGTGGGGCAGTGCTCTGCCCTGCCTCGGTTTGCCCTCCTTGGGCTACACCCACTGTCCAACCAGTCCCATTGAAATGAACCTGGTATCTCAGTTGGAAATGCAGAGATCACTCGCCTTCTGTGTCTCTCTCACTGGGAACTGTGCTCCGGAGCTTTTGCTATTCAGCTATCTTGGCATAAGTCCCTCTGTGCCTTTTAATTGGGGCATTTAGCCCATTTGCATTCAAGGAAACGAGAACACATACACTGCTGATGGGATTGTAAATTAGTTAAACCATTTGGGAAATAGTGTGGCAATTTCTCAAAGAACTAAAAACAGAACTACCATTCAACTCAGCAATCTCATATATATATATATCCAAAGGAATATAAGTCATTCTACCATAAAGACACATGGACACATGTGTTCATTGAAGCACTATTCACAATAGCAAAGATAAAGAATCAACCTAAATGCCCATCAACAGTAGGCTGGATAAAGAAAATGTGGTACATATACACTATGGAATCTATGCAGCCAGGAAAAAGAATGAGATCATGTTCTCTGCAGGAACATAGATGGAGCTGGAGGCCATTATTCTTTTCAAACTAATGCAGGAACAGAAAACCATATACTGTATGAGAACTAATGGGCAGGAAGAGGAGAAAAACAGACACTGGGGCGTACTTGAGGAAGGAGGGTGGAAGAAGGGACAGAATCAGGAAAAATAACTATCAGAACTATGAGGTGCTATGCTTAGTACCTGGGTGACAAAGTGGTCTGTGCACCAAACTCTCATGACACAAGTTTGCCTGTAACAACAAACCTATACATGTACCCCTAAATCTAAAATAAAAGTTAAAAAGAAATGTAATTTAAATCACAGCATCCATCACACAGAATGTGCTCAACAACTCTCAGATAGGGTTAACATAATACAAAAGATCTTCCTGCCCCCAAAATTGTATGGAATTGGAGTAGATTCAGCGGGGATACAGGGGAAAGAATGGAGGGTGTCAGGTTCCTGGAAGAGATTTTTCCATTCTCTGCAAAGGCACATTGCTAGGAACAGAGTGAATAGGAAGGAGGGGGGAGGGGCAGCCAGGGCAAGAAACTGTGTTTTCTCAAAGGGAAAAACTCACAGTAGGAGGTGGAAGAATTTTGAGTTTCTGAGAAGAGGTGAGGAGGGAGAGTTGATAGAGACTACATGGTTTAGAATTCAGATTACAAGTGTGTTCACGGGAGCTCTTCTCTTTGGATGTGCACAATTGGATCAGTAAACACATGCCCAGACCCTGATCTTTAACAAATATTGGTCAATTCCTTTTTACCCTTTGGCATCAGGCAAATGTATAAAAAGCTAACGTCTTTTTTTGACTTCAAGGTCTCATGTACAGTTGCACAAGACATCTATGGAGTGGCATCCCTAGCATTGCATAATGCCCAAACTGAACAACTGTACCTGGCTTCCACCAACTACATGGCCTCCACCCTCCTGTGCTTCCATGTTGCATTATGTACCATCTGGCCACCTGTGGTCTTATACGGACCAATTCATGTTCCTGAGGACATGTCACCCAGGGCCACAGTAAACAGCCCCACAGGCTGTGCAGTGCACAAGCCCAGGGAGCAGCCTTTTCATGGATATGATGCAATATGTACAGATCCTGCCATGCAGCCCCTATCCAAGCACAGTTCTAGAGGCCTCGAGGCCATTCTTGGAGAGCTCTCATTTTCAGGTAGTTCCTTGCACCAAGCCAAAATCTGTCCCCACCTCCACCCAACAGTGGTTCACACCCTGGTCCCTATTCTGCCCTCTGGAGTCCTACATACAAAGCCTAATCACCTGTTTCAGACCCCACCCAGGTCTCCTGGCTTCCAAGAAAGCCAAGAGGCAATTGTATTTCTGAAGGAGAACCCTCCCTTGTCCCACCCCTGCAGTGGGGATAGAAGGAAAGAGCTATGCTCAGGATAACCTCACACACTAGGTGACCCTGTGCCTGGCATGCCCGCCTCTCTCTGCTGCTACTGCATGCCCCAAGCTGGCTCCCAGCCTGAAACACACAGGCCTGGTGAAAAAGTAAAGCAGTCAGGGAGTCAGGAAGAAAAGGCTGCATTCCTGCTTCCTTCTCAGCAAGTGTCCCAAGCAATGGGCCTCCTCAGGCACAAACCAATCTCCGCAGCCAGGGTTTCCTTAGGTTGCTCTTTGGGGAAGGAGCCTCCAGGTTTCCTGAGAGCCCCCACCCCACCATCCCAGCTGGTTCTTCCCTCTGGAGGTCAGTATTCCAGGGAGTATGGAGCAGCCACTGCCAGTGTTCCTCTCTGGGACTCATACAGTCCCAGTTGGGGGATAAGACAAAAGTTTCCCTAGCACAGGGAGGGAGGACACGCATCCTCTCAGCTCCCAGGAGACAGGTCATGGACACATCCCCTCCTGGAGGCCAGTGACATTGCCTATCCCGCACCCCCTTGGTCTATGCTACCTATATCCAGGAACCAAAGGCAACACTCAGCTCCTTTCATTTCATGGGTTCTGGGGGCAAATGATTCCCCCAACCAAGAAACTAAAAAATCAAGACTGAGCTGGGAACTAAAAATCAAGGAGCTGCCAGGAAGATGGACTGGACCTGGATTCAGGTGGGCCCTGGGCAGGTCCCCAGGAACCGACTGCCTATGAGGCACACTCAGTGGGGGGCAAAGGGGAGAAATAAGCCCAGAAGCAGCAAAGTGACAAGGGAGGAGAGAGTAGCACCCAGGAAGTCAGCAGAGTCCATGCAGCTTGGGAGAGGTAGGGCTGGCAGATAAAATTCTGGGCTGTTCCTCTTTGAGGCCACAGCCAGAGAAATAGCTCAGCTAGTTGCATAACCCTTCTATTTGCCCAGAGCTTTTGTCCAGAAACTCTCTGTCCTGAGAGGTGATTAAAGAAGGCATCCAGCAAGAACTACACAAGAAACGGAGTCAGCTGGAGAAGGAGGAGTGGTCTTCCACAGCCTCACCGGAGAATGGAGGCCCACAACGTGTCTGCCACATTCAACTTCACCCTGCCACCCGACTTTGGCAAGCGCCCCACAGATCTGGCACTGAGCATCATCCTGGTGTTCATGTTGTTCTTCATCATGCTCTCACTTGGCTGCACTATGGAGTTCAGCAAGATCAAGGCTCACTTCTGGAAGCCGAAAGGGCTAGCCATCGCCCTGGTGGCACAGTATGGCATCATGCCCCTCACAGCCTTTGTGCTAGGCAAGGTCTTCCGGCTGAACAAAATTGAGGCGCTGGCCATCCTCGTCTGTGGCTGCTCACCTGGAGGGACCCTGTCCAATGTCTTCAGTCTGGCCATGAAGGGGGACATGAACCTCAGGTAAGCCAGGGGGTGAGGAGGGAACAGCCTGGGACAGGAGCCACATTAGAGATGTCACAATTGAGGGGAAGAGCTGGGCTAAAGCCAGGAAAAGGAGTGAATGCAGGCTGGGTGGAGGCTAGGGCAGGGGAAGGCTGGCATTTATTGCCAAGAGCTTATGCTGGGATGGGGGTAGGAATTGGGATACATCTTGGTTTAAGCACCAAGCCAAAGGGACCATACTGGTCCAGGAACCTTGTGGTGATCTTGCTTTCAGAGGTGTCTCAAGGATTGTCTTAAAGGAGCATTGATTTAAGCCAAAGGAACCTCTGAGAGAACTGCATCCACCTACAACAGTGGACAAGTTGTCTGCTTTGAGACCAGAGATTTAAAAGGCAATGTGATTGGTTCCAAACATCACCAGGGAGATCAAGGTGACTCGGAACCAAACAAGCACCTCAAATTCCTGCAAAGCAGACAAGAATTTCCAAAAGGTCCTCCAAATTACTGGTCATCTGAGATGTCCTCTCTTTAAAGTCCCTCATTTCCCATCAGATGCAGTGACATTTCCATACAAAGGCGCAACCAGGGAGATCCGTTTCCCAGCACCCACTCTGGATATGCCAACCCTATCTTAGGCACACTGATAAGGGGAAGACAGCAGCAACCCCCAGCCCCCTGCCCAAGGCATTATAAGCAGAAATTAGCAAGGGCTCACTCCTGGAGACCCAGCACTCAGGGGCTGGTTGATGCCCATCCTCCCAAACAGAGGGACTCTAGTCTTGAACATCTGACTGAGCCACTTCAGACCTGCTCCAGCTCGAGCAGCCTGTGCTGAGGCTGAAGAAAACTCACTAGCAGAAGCTCTTCCTTTTTGCAAAACGTCAGTCTCAAGCCAGTCCCCTCTGGTTTAGTCCTCCGTGGAGACATTATTCAATCCCAGGTATGGCAGCAGAATCCAGGAAGTCCATCTGCTTGTCTGTCAGCACCCTACCCCTAGAGCAAAACTTTCCTAGGAAAACTAACCAAGTCAAGAAGCCCTGCCTAGTGACGCAAAATGACACTGGGACAGATTTTTTTTTTTATGAAAAAAGTGAGAATGACTGGGCATGGTGGCTCACACCTGTAATTCCAGCACTCTGGGAGGCCAAGGCAGGAGGACAACTTGAGACCAGTAGTTTAAGACCAGCCTGAGCAACATAGTAAGACTGTGTCTACCAAAAAAAAAAATTTTTTTTAATTAGCCAGGCACAGTGGCACATGCCTGTAGTCCAGCTACTTGGAAGGCTGAAGTGGGAGGATCTTTGATCCTAGAAGTTCAAGGCTGCAGTGAGCCATGATTGCACCAGTGCACTCCAGACTGGGCAACAGAGACCCTGTCTCTCTCTCAAATAAATACATAAGCGAGAGTGAATGTGAATTAGAGTTGGGGTTTAACAGGATCTGCCGTCTGAGAAGCTCTGGGTTCTTTTCCCATATGATTTAGCCCTCGCCAAAGTAGTTGATGGGAAGAAAGGCACAAAGAGGGCATTTGGCTTGTGCCATCATCCTCAGAAAGGTACTTCAATGTTCAGCCACCTCACTGTGAGAAAATGCTTCCCCTGTCTAATCCACATCCCCTCCACTACAAAGCAAGCCCTCAGTCTTGTATCTGGCTTATGGACAAGGTTCATAGCAGCCTATGTGTCCCAAGAAACCTAGAGTATATATGAATTTTGGTGTACGAGGGATGCAGGAAGTCGGGGGCCTGGGAAGAGGTACTCTGAGGGCTTCATATTTCTGTGGAGGAAGCAGAGCTAGGGGGTGGGAAGCAACAGTGTTTTTGAGTGGCCAGGTGTCCCAGACCCGTCGCCAGTGGCCACTATTTAGGCCTCTGCCACAATGCCTGCATTGCCGCGGCTCTAGGCCCCAGCTGGACAGAGCCTCTGATGACTCAAGAACATGACCCCTCATGCTCTCTTGCCCAATCTCTTTGTCCAGACCCCTGATGACCATCATTTTTACCTAGACCCCTATAAGAGATAAGCTCTGCTGGGACAGCCATTTTCTGTCATAAAGCTCCTTCCCCACAAACAAACCCTCCTATGCACATTAAACCATACCTTAGATCCAACTGTCAGAATGGGAATCTGGTCATCTACCTTCATGTGCAGCCAGACTTCAAATCCCATTCCAATTTGGGACAATTTGTTACGTGCATTATGATAACGACAATGATTATAAGAAATAGCCAGGCACAGTGCTAAACACTTTACTTGGATAAGTGTGTGTGATCCTTCTACATCACCCTCAGGGGCAGCATGTAACAAGTAGCATTTAGAGGTAAGGAAACTGAATCTTACAGAGGTCAATACATTGGCACCAGGTCTGGGTGGCTCCAGAACCTGTGCTTTTACTGAAACATCTTCCAGGTCAGCATTTCCATAAACAAACAAAATGGTCAGACAGCCTCAAAGGCATGGGCAGACGCCACGAGTCTCAGCAGCAAGTATTGTGTGGGAGCCACGGCTTCCCACTTTTCAAGAGAAGGTAGAATCTCTATTTTATGTGAAATCAGCAACTCATTCAATTTTTTTTTAATGTGCAAACCAAACAATACATGTTAAAGGGCCAGCTATAGCTCAAAGGCCCCAGTTTAAGATAAGCACAATACTCTATATCCCATTTAGAGCTAGGAGGAATTGTAAGACACAGATTCCATTTTACACATGAAGAGGCTGAGGTCCGAGACCTGCCAGAGGTTTCCCAGAGTCTGTGTCTCCCTCCACTCTGCCCCATACCTGGAGTTGGTCTGAGCCAGGCCACCAGGCAGACCCCTCAACACAGCCAGGCACGGCGGCTCCCTCCTCAAGGAAGGCCACTAGACAAGTTTCAAAAAATGTAGGTGACAAACAGGCAAAAGAAAGCGCCCTCACAGTTGAAGTGAGCATGGCTTGTCAGGCACAGAGGAGAGAGTGCTATGCCAGCAGGAACTGGCCTCCTTTGACCACCCTTGCTGCCCCAAGTTCATCTGCTCCCCCTACCACCATTGGACTCACAGCAGAGCCCAGAGCCAATGGCCATGGTGACAATCGGCTTGGACACAACCCAAGCACTTCCACTGGTCTCCCAGCCATGATGTAGGAAGCTTAACCAGGACAAGATGGAAACCACTGTGGTCCCCAGAAATTTCCCGCTTCAGAGAGACTTTGTTGGGGTGCCTCACAGCTGCCTCAGTTCTGCCCCCAATCTGTGCACTGACAGATGCTTGAACCAGTCCCTTAAATGGGGTATACAGATGTCCAAAAGCAGGGTCTATGCTGTGTTCTTAAAACTTAAGCAGGAGAGAAAAATAAAAAAACAAATGTCCCCCTTTCCCCATGAAAGGCAGCCAGGCCTACAATCTCAGGGATCTAGAGTCTATAAAAGTCACTGTCCATCCCTGTCCCTTGGGGTAAACCAAGGATCACAACAGTCACAGATGCCAGCAGGCTAGGAGATAGATGTCCCTGACCTGTCCCCAGCACTGTGCAAGTGGAGGAAGTACCTGGGGGTCGGGGAACATGGCTCCTGCATACCCAAGCTGACACGGCACACCAAGTCCAAACTCCAAAACTCCTGACACACCAAGTCAAAGTAAGCATGATTCCTCTGCTCTAGGACACCAAAACAAACACACAAGTTGTGTTTGACTTTTCTCTAAGAGGAGATCAATAGCGATCATTGAAACCCCCTGTTTTCCCATTCCCAATCTCATCGCCCTCTACCACATGCCAAAGGGAGCACCCCCAGGAATTTGGTGCTCAGCATTTCCACCGACCCTTTTCAACTATTACCACATATGTACATATTCATAAACAAGGTAGACTGTGGGCTTTACATCTTTTAATTTTGTACAAACAGTATTATACTGTCCACATCACCTAACAGCTTGCTTTTTTTTTTTTGAGAAATAGTCATGTAAAGAAAACAGCTATCTCACGTATCTGAACTGCTGTATAGTTTGCTTGCATTTATCCATTCTCCTGTTGTCAGAGATTTGTCTTGCTTCTGTGAACAAACTTGTGCGTGTCCCTATGCCCACTTATGAGGCCATATGTAATTAAAGCAGGACTGCTGGGTTATGGGAGTCACACATCTTTAACAAGTCTCCAAGGTTGTTGTTCACGTCACACTTCCCCAAGCGGTGTCTGAAGATCCCTGTTTCTCCATGCCTTCATCTATATTGGAATTGTCAGATTTTTAATTTTCTTCTAAAAATTAAAGTTTTCTGAAAACAGTGAAGATCTCAATAGTTTTAAATCTGATTTCATGGGAGGTCTACCACATTTTCATCTGTGTGTTGGCCACTTGTGTGTCCTCTTCTGGAAATGTTGGGTCTTTTGCCTGTTTCTCTATAGGATTGTGGTTTGGGTGGGTTTTGAAAATTAATTTGTAAAGTTAATGGTTGTTTATATATGTTGCAACAGTCTATTCACAGTTTGGAGCCGGTCTTTACACTTTGATAATAATGTCTTCTAAATATAGACTGCTTGTGTTAATTTAGTCATATTTGCCAATATCTTCCCTTTCTGGTTTATGTTTTTAAGGTTTCTTTAAGAAATCCTTTACTATCTACAAGCCTGGACAGCATGGCAAAACCCCATCTCTCCTAAAAATACAAAAGAATTAGCCGGGCATGGTGATGTGCACCTGTTATCCCAGCTACTCAGGAGGCTGAGGCATGAAAATCGCTTGAACCTGGGAAGTGGAGGTTAAAGTAAGCCAAAATCATGCCACTGCACTCCAGCCTGGGCAACAGAGCAAGACCCCATTTCAAAAAAAAAAAAAATCTTTTACTGTCTACAAAGTTAAAAAGACATTCCCCTATATTTTCTTTGAAAAGTTTTAAATGTTTGATTCAAATGGAAGAACTTATTTTTATGTATGGTGTGAACTAATTTTCTTTTCCATATAATAGAAGATTCCCAGCCACGTTGAGTGAATTTTTCTCCAGTCATGTGTAATGTCATCTCCCTCACTTGTGTCTGGAATCTCTCTTCTCTTCTTCGGGTCTACGTGGCTATCCTTGTACCAGTTCCGCACTTTCTTAATTACAATTTTGTAAGTTTTGGTATCTGAAAGCTAAGTCTCCCCACCTTGAAAATCATGTTAGCTATTCTTAAGCCTTTTACTCTTTCACTTGAATTTTAGTATCAGTTTTCAAGTCTACAAAAAAATTATACGTCTGGAATTTTAATTAAATCTGTATTACATTTATACACAAATTGAGAGACCATCTTTATAATACTGAAGCTTCCCATCTATGAACGTGGTATAGCTTTTCTTTTACTTAGGCCTTTTTTAATACCTATCTATAAAGGTTCATAATTTCTTTCATAAAGATCTTACATGTCTCTTTTAGATTTATAAATATTTTCTAGTTTTTGTGAATATTATGAATGTTTTTAAAAAAATTAATTTCTAGTATATCAAACCCAACTGATTGATTGACTGATGCTAATATATTTAGAACCTCATACATTCTCTTACTTATCAGTTTTAATGGAAAATCACTTAGATTTCCTCTATGGACAATCCTATCTTTGGCAAAACAAGGAAGTTTTGTTTCTTATTTTCCCATTCCTGTATTTTTTCTATTTCTTGTTTTGCTGTGCTTATTAGGGCCTATATATAGTTAATTTATAAAAGAGGTAATAATAATGACTATCTTTGCTTTTATTTCTCTTGTTAAAGAAAACTCCTCTAAGTTTTTACCATTAAGTTTAATGTTTAATATAGATGTTTAACAGATTTCCTTTCGAGTTAAGGAATTTTCATTTTGTTGCTAGTGTACTAAATTTTTATTAGGTAAGAACATTAAATTTTGTTGAATGACTTTTCTGTATCTACAAAATTATATCATTTCATTAATCTAATAATGTATTAACATTAATACGTTATTAATATAACTAACATATATATTAATAGATTAATGTTAAATCATTCTTACTCATCTTGTCCATTGTATTACTTTTTTAAAACATATTTTATGATTTTTGCTTCTATGTTCATAAATAAGAGTGGCCCCCAATTTTCCTTTCTCATATCATTCTCCAGCTTTAGTTCCAAGATCATATTAACCTTATTCAATAAATTGGGACATGTGTCCCCTTTTCATATTCTCTGGACAGATTTGTATACTACTGCAACAATCTCCACTTTGAATGTTTAGTGGAACACTACTGTAAGACAGTATAAATCATGTGAGGTTCTAGAAGATACGTTTTGAACTGTTTATTAAATATCTTTAATGATCCTAAGGTGAATCAGGTTTTTGGCTTCATATTGACTTGGTTTGTAGGCTATATTTTCCGTGGAATTATCCCTTTAATATAGGTTGAAAATGTAATGCCATTTCTCAAAGTTTGTACAAACAAAAGAAAAAATACATATAATCGAAAATTAAAGTATGAAAATGTCCTTAGTTTCTTTTATGACTTTTTAAACTCTTCATTGTCTCTGTAATTATGTTCCCTTTTTCACTCTAACATCATCAATTTGTGCCATCTCTTTTCCCTGATCTGTCTTGGTTTTTAGCACATTTCCAAGGCTGTGAAACTATCACCATTATCTAATTTCAGAACATTTTCAACACCCCAAAAAGGAACTCTATCCCATTTAGCAGGAGTCCCCATTTCTCTCTCCCCTTCTAACCCTTGACAACCACTAATCTATTTTCTGTCTCTATGGTTTTCACATAAATGGAAAACCATTTTGCAAGTCATATATCTCATAAGGGTCTAGTATTCAGAATACATGAAGAACTCTTATAATGCAATGATAAAAAGCAAATTAAAAATGGGCAAAGGATTTGAATATTTTTATATCACATGCAATCAATATATGACCTTTTGTATCTAGATTTCTTTCACTTAGCATATTTTCAAGGTCCATTCATGTGATAGCATGTCACAATACTTCCTTCTTTTTGTAATTGAATAATATCCCATTGTATGGATATAATATATTTTGGCTCATCCATTCATTCAGCTGATGGACATACCGGTTTTTTCTACTTGTTGCCTAGTATGAATAATCTCTTTGAAAGTTCATAGGCAAGTTTTTGTGTGAACATGCTTTCCATTCCCTTGGAATATATACCTAAGAGTTGAATTGCTGGATTATATGATGATTTTGTGTTTAAATTTTTGAGAAACTGCCAAACTATTTTCCCAAAGCACCATTTTACATTCCCACCAGCAGTGTATGAGGATTCCAAATTTTCCACATACTCTCCAACACTCGTAATTGCCCATCTTTTTAATTATAGCCATGCTAGTAGGTATAAAGCGGTATCGCATTGTTTTGATTTGCATTTTCCTAATAAGTAATGATGTTGAGCATCTTTTCATGTGCTCATTGGTCATTTGTATATCTTCTATGGGGAAATATCTCATTCAAATCCTTTGCCCATTTTTAATTTTTTATTATTGCATTATAAGAGTTCTTCATGTATTCTGATACTAGACACTTATCAGATATATGACTTGCAAATATTTTCTCCCATTCTCTGGGTTGCCTTTTCACTTTCTTGATGGTATCCTTTGAATCACAAGTTTTTAATATTAATAAAGTCTGATTTGTCTGGTTTTATTTGGCTGTTTGTGCTTTAGGTGTCATATCTAAGAAACCATTGCCTAATCCAAAGTCCCCCCTCCATGTTTTTCAAATATGTATTTTATTATTTTTCCATTCTAAATACTTTTTCCACTATGATTTCATTGATGATATAATTAGAAAGTCCCGCTCCCCACCATGATCCTTTTATTATTGGTTGCTCAGTTTCAATGCCCCTCCCATCCCAGCAAAGACCTCAATTCTGGTCGCTCCCTTGGGAATTAAAGCCTCGAGAGTGCCGAGACTAACACTCCACTCCCCTCTGTAACCCCTCTATACAGTGAAGCTTCAGCTTGAGATCCCCCACTACTTTGCATTTGTTTCTTGTCCCTGGGCACTTTTTTTTTTTAGACAGTATCTCACTCTGTCACCTAGGCTGGAGTAGAGTGGTGCTAACATAGCTCACTGTAGCCTCAACCTTCTGGATTCAAGCCATCCTCCTACCTCAGCCTCCCAAGTAGTTGGGCCTACTGGTGCACACCACCACACCTGGCTAAATTTTGTGTGTGGTTTTTTGTTTGCTTGTGTGTAGAGACAGGGGTCTTACTTTGTTGCCCAGGCGGCTCTCAAACTCCTGGCTTCAAGCAATCCTCCCTCCTCAGCCTCCCCAAAGTTAATTCCTCCCCTGGAATTATAGGCATGAGCCACTATGCCAGCCTCCCTTACTTTCTTACAAGCTCAAGTGTGTATTTAAGTGTTCATGGGGGTAGGAGAGTTCCTATTATCTACTTCACGATTTTCTTTGAGGGCCTCTCCTCACCTCTAACAGCCCTTATCCCTTATAACATGTCTGCCTATTGTTCTTGATGGCTACACTCTAAGACTTTTGATCTAGGCTACTCTTGATGCATATTTAAGCCAGATTCCATCATTATGGAAATAATGAAAGAAGTATAGATGGAAGGTAGGGCTGTGGGGAGGAGGAGGAACACACTTAGTGTGGTTTTCCTAGGGTCTTGCCAAGCCCTCACCTCCCAACCACCTTCCCACTGGAATGGAAGTCAGAGTCATATATTGTTAATGTGAACGTCCATAAATCCAAGGAGATGCCCTATCAGCTTCCTTCTCAGTTGACCCTTCTGGAGGGCCTCTCCCTAGACAGGGTCCTGGGACTAACATATATAAGATTCCAAATGGAAAAGGAAATTGGACAAGTAAGATACATATTAGCGCTGGAAGGATACATTATTCAGGCTGAGTCTCACTCTCAATTTATTTTAAATAGTATCAAGGAGGAACCAGAAAATTAAGAACATGAGAACAACAGAGTAGGGGACTGGAATATTATCCAAGATGCAAAGCAAGCCTGACCAGGTTATCCTGTCATTTACTCAACATGAGTAACTGTTGCTGCCTTCTCTACTACTCCACCACTATGGCTCTTCAATTATTCTGTTTCTTACTGCTTCACTATTTATTTTAAAGTCCTTTTAATCATGGTATCTGTTTATTGATTTTTTTCTAAGTAGGGTTTTGGCTTCTGCCTGACCATCACTCCACGCCACTCATTCCCAAAGGCCAAGTGCCCTGTCACTGTGTCTCACACTCAGATTCCCCACGAGGTAAAATGTGCTAATATAGCTAATTGTTATTGTCTCCACTGGACAAAGCCACTACAACCAGCCATTCCCTAGGCTCTAAACCAGACATTTAGTAACTATGGGTCAGGTGCTATTCCATGGTTCAATGGGCTAATGACCAGAGTAATGGGATCACACAGTTAGCTTTCTACAAAATGGGCTAGGATGGGGCAGGTGCTCAATGCAAAAGGAGTTCTGTTATAGAGAAGGAGATCAGAATGGGTCCTTCCACAATGAATCACACAGGGGTTGAAGCAGTTGAACCAGCCTAAGTTCAAATTCTGCCTCAGCCACTTACTACCTTAGGTGATTTTGAGCAGGACACAACTCTTCTAGTCTCCAGCCTCCTTGTCAGCGAAAAGAAGATAGTATGCCTACTGCCTAAGGATATGGGGGAAAGTAACTCTAGTTACATTGTAAAGAACTTAGCACAGTGACTGGCACTTAGCAGGCACTCAACAAAATAGTCCGTATTCATGAGCTCTCTCTCTCTCCTCTTCCCATAACTCCCACCAGCATTGTGATGACCACCTGCTCCACCTTCTGTGCCCTTGGCATGATGCCTCTCCTCCTGTACATCTACTCCAGGGGGATCTATGAAGGGGACCTGAAGGACAAGGTGCCCTATAAAGGCATCATGAGATCGCTGATCCTGGTTCTCATTCCTTGCACCATAGGGATCATCCTCAAATCCAAACGGCCACAATATGTACGATATGTTGTCAAGGTAAGAACCTGGGGGCTTGACAAGTTAGGGCAAAAGAGTAAAAACACCATATACAACTAGAAGGCATAATCATTATATTAATAATAAACATATATATGCTCCTACTAGATGCTAAGTTTTATGCTATGCACTCTGAGGAGTTTCACTGTCACCACAGTTTGATATTTGCAGAAAGCGAAGTAAACATGAGGTTGGCATGGTAGCTCACGCCTGTAATCCCTGCACTTTGGGAGGCTGAGGTGGGTGGATCACTTGAGGTCAGGAGTTTGAGACCAGCCTGGCCAACATGGCGAAACCCTATTTCTACTAAAAATACATACACAAAAAAAAATTAGCCAGACGTAGTAGCAAATGTCTGTAATCCCAGCTTCTCAGGAGGCTGAGACAGCAGAATCACATAAACCAGGGAGGCGGAGGTTGCAGTGAGCTGAGATCATGCCACTGCACTCCATCCCGGGCCATAGAGTAAGACTGTGTCAAGAAAGAAAAAGAAAAAAAAAAGAAAAGAAAGTGAAGTAACACATGAGAGAAACCAGATCCAATTCCAATGCACACACAAATATTTACAGAAGGCAAGGAGATGGGAACAGTGAGGGCTGGAGTGGTCAAGGAGGCTTCTTAAAAAGAAAGTGCTTGAGGCATTTGGGTAAACCTGGGGAGAAGCCTGAATAGAGGAGTTCAGAGGGCACCAAGGGCAAATTTGGCTGATGTGGTAAGAAGCTAGAGGAGAGAGGTGGTGTACCCACTCCCAGCATTTCAGGAGAGGGATGGCGTGGGAGGTGGAGTTAAGGCCACAAAGGTTGTAAGGTTTTGCCTTGTGTGCAGAAGAATCCCAGGCTCTTAGAGTGCAGCTATGGTCTCTCCACCAACATTTTCAACCTTGGAGTTCAGTCCCTGCCAGCCTCCCTCTTGGCTCCCAGTTCATCCCCCAGGGCCAGGGGGTCATCCTGGTCCTCAGGAAGGATTTGACCTCCTGACCTCCTATACTATCTCTGCCCCTGGATCAATGCCTCTGGCCTGGTCTGCAGGGCGTGCTCCTGAGAACCCCAAAGTCTGGCAGCAGCTTTGGGCCTGGAACGAAGAGGCCAAGAGTTATGTTTTCAGGGGGGGTTATTTTCACACTACCATTGTCTCAAGAGGAGTTTTTGCCCTTGCCCTCTCCCAGTGCCATGGCCACAGCTCCCCTTCCAGCCTGCTGGAGGACACTGAAGGAATGATCCCTTCTCCTTTCCATGGCCAGTCACGTAAAATAAGATAGTATGCTTACTGCCTAAGGATATGGGGGCAAGGAACTGAAGCCACTTAGCACAGTGACTGGCACTTAGCAGGCACTCAACAAAATAATCTATATTCATGGGCTCTCTCTCCCGCCTCTTCCCACGTCTCCCACCAGCATTGTGATGACCACCTGCTCCACCTTCTGTGCCCTTGGCATGATGTAATCCCTGGGATCTATGATGGGGATTACATCATCCTCTCCACCCTTGCATCTCGGAGACCTCCCTTGATTGATTATGTCCCCTCCCCAGCAGCCTCCCCTCTCTCACTCTAATTTCTAAAGCATCTCTGTATTGGTTTTTCACAATCAGCTTTGATACAGACCCACATATCTCTTATCTTCAAAAAACAAAACAAAAAACATCTCACTAGGATTTTTTGTGAAATCCACCTCCCATTCCACCTAACACCTCCCTTTGTTCCCCCTCTTCCTAGCCAGGATTCAGGAAAAGTCCCCCTCACTCCTCCCTCTGTGTGTGTGTGTCAGTATCTCCCTCTCAAACACCTTCCTCTTCCCCCATGCCACTGCCAGAGCTCTCTCACGAGTGACCAGACCCTCAGCAATTAATTTCCATTATTTGAATCCCTCTCTTCTCTTCCCCGTGGTCTCCCATCCACCCAGCATCTTGATGACCACCTGCTCTACTTTCTTTGCCAAATCCAATGGACATTTCTCAATCCTTCCTTGACCTTCTAGCAGCACTGGACATAATTGACCACTGCCGCCTCCTCAAAAACCTTCTCTATCAGCTTTGGTGACTTCAAGCTCTGCTGCTTTCCTCCCACCTCTCGTAACCTCCTTCAGACTCCCTTATGAGTTCCTCTGGTCAAAGGCACTTCTCTGCATTCAGTCTAAGCTTTCTGCCTTTCTCACCAGACCTCTCCTAGCCCAGGATCTGGTCCCTCTCAGGGCTGCAATTACCATCTGCTAGCTGAGACTTCCAGAACAGCATCATCAGGTGTCAACTCTCTCCTGACTCTAGAATCCATTTGTTATCTACCAGATCATTCTATCTAAATATACCTTGGAAATTTAAAACTTAATATATGTTAAAGTCATCTCCTCCCCTTGTGTTATCTCAGTCAGTGGCATTCTGCATGCCGAACTGCCTCAACCAAAAACTGGGAGTCATTCTCAATGTCCTCCTCTCCCTCACCACCCACATCCATCTAATCAATGACCATTGATTCCACCTTCTGTTGCTGGAATCCATTCATTCCTTTTCATCCTTACCTCTCACTAGACAACTTAAATGGCCTTCTCATCCTACCTCCTGACCCAGTTTCAACCAGAGGGTGAAGATGTAAAGTACAAACTCTATCATGTCACTCCACTGCTTAAAGCCTCTCATTGGTTCCTTTCCCCTAGGATAGAGTTTAAACTCCTTAATGTGACACTTGATTTGGTCTCAACCGATCTACAAGTCTCAGCTATTTTCTCTTTGCACTTGCCCTTCCCTTCACATGGAACGCTCTTCTTCCCAATTCTCACCCCACTCACCCTTTAAATCTCAACACATACAGTGTCTCCTCCAGTAAGCCTTCCTTAACCTCCTAAGCCTGAGAAGGATGCTTGTCCTATTCATTCCCATAGTACCCAACACTCCAGCTAACCCCTGTAGCAATCACTGCATTAAGAATACCTGGGGTTTTTTGTTTGTTTTTGAGATGGAGTCTCGCTCTGTTGTCCAGGCTGGAGTGCGGTGGGGTGATCTCGGTTCACTGAAACCTCTGCCTCCTGGATTCAAGCAATTCTCCTACCTCAGCCTCCTGAGCAGCTGGGATTACAGGTGTGCACCACCATGCCAGACTAATTTTTGTATTTTTAGTAGAGATGGGGTTTCACCGTGTCGGTCAGGCTGGTCTCCAACTCCTGACCTCATGATCTGCCCACCTTGGCCTCCCAAAGTGCTGGGATTACAGGTGTGAGCCACTGCGCCCAGCCATACCTATTTATTTTTATTCCCCACTCATTTCTCAAGAAGCAAGACCATAAAGCTATGTCTTAATTAACATTGAATCCACAGCACGTATCACAGTGCCCCCATAGCTAATGCCTGAGAATAAAGGAATGAAGGGCAAGTCCTATCTGCTCCTCTTCCACACACCAGCAGAAAAACAACATACACAGAGAAACACGTTTGTGTGCATCATTTCATTTCTTTAAGACAGTTTGTGGGGTGCATAAGATTGCTTTAGATTTTTAAAAATCCTATACACCCCACAAACTATCTTTAAAAATACATATAAGATATAAAGAATATTAAAATGTGAACTGACCCCCACTATCATTTAATGCTACTCTGCCCATTTTATAGGTGGGAAAACTGGAGACCAGAATACCAAGTCACACTACTAATGATAACTGACATGAGAGCATGTCTCCTTTATACCTCAAAGTAACTTTAAAAGTGTTTCTCTGAGGATGCAAAAAGCAGAATCTCAGATCTTAAAGCTAGAGAAGGCTTCAGGATGAAGTTCAGTCTCCTGCCTTACTCCCAATTTGCAGATAGAGCAACTGAGGCCCTAAAAAGTTACTTGGCAGAGCCAGGATTATCTCAACTAGTCTCTGTTCCTGTTATGTTTCACATTCACTGTTCAATGCCACAGGAAAAATGAAGTCAAAATGAGACCAGAGAACATTAAAAGGGCTAAGCAATACCTTGGCTAGAAAGAGACCAGTAATAAGGGACTACATAAAAAGTGATCTGAAAAACTCAGGCATACCCGGGACCCATTTTGCCCCTGACTAAACCTCCAGGGTTAAACCACCACAAAGTCAACAGCTACACTGATCTTCCTATATTCCAAATCTGGAATCACTCCTGTAAGGATGCAGGGATGAACGTGTGGGTCAAGCTGCAAAGGCTGAGGCATCCTTGTTTCTATGGCTCTTTGAGGACTATGCTTATCCTTCATCACCCTATCCCATAAATAATATAGTGAACACCAAACTGGAAAATGAACAAATGACTGACCTACCCTCTTTGCACACTTAACCCTCCTAGGACCTTACAAATCCAAATAACCCAACTTTCAATAACTAGCTCTGGTAGCAGCTATCTGCTCACACTGGGTTCAACCAGTTACATTCACTGGTGGAAGGTCACATTTAGATATGCCAAGATACAACTTCAGGGATGCTCATTTTGAAAAGCAATTCAAGTAATTTTTAAGTTACCCATGCAAGGGTTTATCCAAAGGTTATGTGGTTAGAAGACTGATGAATCTGACCATGACATGGCCAGGAGCCACTTTCATGATCAGCCATCCACCATTCTTTAATCCTGCCATTTCATTGACTCAACACTCTACTCATGCTTTTCCATACCTGCTGCTACTGATGAACTGACCCCTGACTCTCCTTTGTCTTACAGCTTCTGCCAACTTGTGGTTTTTATTGCTCCCAGCTTTCTATGTGTTTTAACACTTGTCCCTGCTACTGCTTTCCTCTCTGTAATCCCGTAAACTTCCTAGATGAGAGATCTGATTATTTCTACCACTCATCAGCCTGCCCAGGCCACCTTTGTGGGTAGGTGTGGACATGTCATCTCACGTGTCACTGGCAAGCCAATGGATTGACTGCCCATGAACGGGCACTCATTCCAGTTGTGAGCAGGGCAATGAAGTCAGGTGGTACAAAACATGGTGGCCTATGAAGAAGCAACTACCCAAGACTGCTTGTCTCAGCAGGAATTGTAGACAGGATAAATTTCCAGAGATAGCAGCAGAGAGTAACGGAAAACTCTACAATGTTCATTTCCTCTCCTTTGAGTAATAATAGGAGTTAAGTTTAGTGCGTGAAGAGGTGTGAAAGTCCTTCCTATGCTGGGATGGGACCACTAATTGGTATAGGTGATGTTCTATATGATCACATCAGTTGCAAAAAGGATTAAAAACAGAAACACAAAGCTGTGCAGCTGAAATCTGAGCAATAAAAATGTTAAAATGTCATTAGGACATTATGAAAGTACTTAAAGCCACTGAACTGTACACTCAAAAGTGATTAAACTGGCAAACTTTGCTACACCTATTTTACCACTTTAAATGTTAAAATTATCCTATAGACAGGATAAATTGTAATAAAAAGATGGGCTGGGTGCAGTGGCTCACACCTGTAATCCTAGCACTTTGGGGGGCCAAGGTGGTAGTAGTACTAGAGTCTAGGAGTTTAAGACCAGACTGGGCAACATAGTGAGACTGTGTCTCTAATATTAATAAAAAAATATAACTTTTTTAAAACAAATCCAAAAGGACAGAAAATAAAGATCTTTCATATTTTCTTCCACTTCCAATTTTTTAGTGCAATGTTTCCCACCTCCAATTTCTACCTGTGCTTCCCCATCTCTCTGTTCCTCCATATCCCCAACCCTTCTAATTGCCTTATCTTTATTCCCAGGGAGGGATGATCATCATTCTCTTGTGCAGTGTGGCCGTCATAGTCCTCTCTGCCATCAACGTGGGCAAGAGCATCTTGCTTGCCATGACACCACTCTTGGTGACCACCTCCTCCTTGATGCCTTTTATTGGTTTTCTGCTGGGTTATGTTCTCTGTGCTCTCTTCTGCCTCAATGGACGGTAGGTATTACTGAATTTTTTTGAGACAGGGTCTCACTGTTGCCCAGGCTAGAGGGCAGTGGCACATTCTCAGCTCACTGCAGCCTCGCTTGACCTCCTGCACTTAAGTGATCCTCCTGCCTCAGCCCCCACCAAGTACCTGGGACTACAGGCACAAGCCGCCATGCCCAGCTGATTTGTCTAGAGATGGGATTTTGTCATGTCACCCAGGCTAGTTTTGAACTAATGAGCTCAAGTGATCTGCCTGCCTCTCAGCCTTCCAGAGTGCTAGGATTACAGGTGTGACCCACTGCACACCTGGCAATAGGTATTTTAGGTCCCAATCTCCCATGGGCTTCATTCTTGTCCTAGTCTTTCAGGAAAAGAAGATAGAACCTGAAATCTGCACAAGGCATTTCCCTAGCAATACGTTCAAATGCACCAACTGGACAATAGACTTGAGACTTGAAAATAATTGAGGGAAGGACTGAATGGGTTAAGAATGCAGACACCAAAGGCATCCAAATACCAATAGCAACAGCAAAGTAGTGTCTAGATTCCATCCGCTGACCAACTCCTTGGTAGTGGCCCTGGGGTAGTTTCATGTCATTGTGACAGGTGTTGATAATACTCCTCTTCCTTGTCCACTTCTCTTCTGCCTAGGCTTCAGTCCCAACACGGACACCACTGGGTGACACTCAGAGCTGAAGTAGCTGTGAACCTTGACTAATGTAATCCAATTCACGAACACAGCTGCTCCTCTGTAGGAACAGTTTGAGCGCATGGTACATGAACATCAGACAACCTAACAGAGTAGTATGAGACTTTTCCTCTTTTTAGCCACAGTAGACAAGTGCTTATGCAGAAATCTAAACATTAGAAGCACCCCAACTTTTTTAAAAAAGATTTTTAAAATATAATTTTAAAAGTAATTATCCATTTTAAAAGACATGTTAAACAACAAATTACCACAGGATATAAAGCATGATGATACAGTGAGTCAAAAGACTGTCAATGACCACTTGGTGATGTTGGCTTTCACCAAAACAAAGAGGATGATGCAGACCATAATTGGCCACAGAACTATGTGCCACTACAATAGTCTCCACCATAATAAATGTGCTATCATGTCTCTCAGGTTTTTTTTCCTAGTTGATAACTATTTTAACACAGTAAGTTGCAATGCAATGAATTACATGTGTATTCATTACACGTAAACATCTCACCCTTTAATCCACAAAATGTAAAGCAAAACCAAGAAAATGTGTTTCAAAGATAGACAATGGGACTGAATCAGGTTTTGCTTTCATCTTTAATCATTACATGTTTTAAAGATATGTAAGCCAGAAACCTGGAAAACAGGACAAGGTTCCAGACATTTCAGACAAACTTTTTCTAATATATATTAAAAATGTAATTGTCCTACGAGCCCAACATAAACCAATTAATAGATATTGCCTCCTTCCTTTCATCCCTCAGTAGCCAGACATTTCTACAAATTTTAATTTAGCAACTCTACACAAACAAATCATAGATTTCCAAGCTACTCAAAAAAACCTCACAAAAGCTTCCTAACATGAGTACAAGTCACCATCCCCTCACAGATCTGGATTGGTGTCAAATGGGTCTACTTTTTTTTAGAACCAACGTGCATTCCACACACCTGGCTCCCTTCCACCTTCTTATGCTGGACTGTTCAGTGAATCCTAGAGTATCTGGGCTGGGGGGTGGGGTGGAGCACAAGCAAAATTGCTTCCTCTAGTTCCTGCTGAGTGCATATGGAGTTTTCTTCACCAACACAGGTGCAGGCGTACTGTTAGCATGGAGACCGGATGTCAAAATGTCCAACTCTGTTCCACCATCCTCAATGTGGCCTTTCCCCCTGAAGTCATTGGCCCACTTTTCTTCTTTCCCCTTCTCTACATGATTTTCCAGCTCGGAGAAGGGCTTCTCCTTATTGCCATGTTTAGGTGCTATGAGAAATTCAAGACTCCCAAGGGTGAGTACTGAATTATCCCCAGTTCAAGTTCTGCTCCAATATTGGACCTGAGCCTACCAACAAGCCATGTTTCTAGCAGGGACTTTTTAGATAGGGCTTTAATTCTTATTAAGTCACTAAGAACCAGGTAGCCCCAAGAAGCATGCAAGAGGCTTTAAAGATCTAAGTCTACTTCAACAACTGCACTCCATTTCTTCCTTCTGGCTGGAAGAACAAAATGGTGGATGCAGTTTACCTCAGAAAACTGAAGAAATTTGGGCTGCATTGTGTCAGTGGGGAGACATCACAGGATAGAACTGCCTTGGACAACTGTGATTACTAGTTGTGTGAAAGGCCACTATTCACAAGAGTTGGGGAAGTTTCAGTTTCTCAGGACCAGGTTTTCATTTTCCTGGAACCAGATCAGAACCACAGCACCACTGGCACCCCCGTATGAGGAAAAAAATATGAAAGCAATAAATAAAAAGATTTCTCAACTCCAGTTACACAGTACAGGAAACTTAAGCATAGGGTTAAACAGTGACTACCTCCACAATAAACTTGATTAATATGATTTGTACTTTATTCTTACCACTATGGGGTAATAAAGCATCTCTTCTCTAAAATGCTTAGAGCATTACCTTTCAAAATATAATCGAACCTCAAGACAGACCAGAGATCACGGTGCCTTCCTCAAAGTGCACTTTACATCAATTTAAAAAGCCACTCAAACCTACTTTATAACACATTTCATTATTTTATAACATTAGTATATTATTCCTAACTACTTACCCAAATCCTTCAACTGCCCTTCATGTCTACAAATTGAAGTCCCCTTCATAAGCCTTTCTAGACCCTAGGGACTGTGATTTAAACCCTAGGAGAAATACAGAACTTTCCCTGTTCAAATTTGTCACGTTATACTAGCAAATGCCGAGTCTCTCTCCCTTTGCAGTTAACGAAGATTAGGTTGCCAGCCAAAACTAAACAAGTAAAGGCTGACCATACTCTAGAACCACTTTAGAGGCTTTGGTTCAAAAGCTACAGTGGAGTTTTAAGAATCTAGTCTGATGCTTATCTGAGAGGAACTCAACAGATTTGCTGCCTTCTCACAAAAAGTCCACAAAAGTTGCTAGATCAACCAAGTTCCCAGATTTGAGGTTTTAGTACCAGAGGGCCTGGAGTGACCTCAAAGGACAATATTCTATGGATCTTTAGCTCTCAAGACTTACAAAGAACTTTCTTCACAAGGCATTTCAGAAGACCCCAATGGAAACACTAAATCAAAACAACTTATTTCTTTGGACCTAATGGCCCCAAGAAGCTATTCTCAGGGTGAAAAATCTGTCAAGTTTTTATACTTTTGATTCTTGCACCTTTCTATACAGATGGGAGAATTCTGTAGAGAGAATTCAATGGGAATTCTCTAGCTATCTAGAGAATCAAAGCTATCTTCAAATTTGCACCACCTACACTGTGGGCAAGAAAAAAGGTAGAACAACTGGAGTTGGTGGGAAGAACTGGAAACTCTCTTGGTTAGACTTTCTCAAAGATCTTTCCTCCCTGCCTCCTTATTTCCTGAATGCAACACAGTCCCTGCAAACATAAACGCATCTCCCCTGTCGTTTTACTGCATATACAAAGAAGTTAGAGGTGAAATGATGATGAAGACCCAATAGTCTTAATTCATTAGGATCTTTATTACTACTACTACCATTAGAGAGACTGAAGGGAAAATGAATTTAAATCACAGGAGAGACGGCAGAAATGGAAAATATACATACAGCACATCTTAGGTCTCAGTTGATATTATTTTCCAGATTAAACAAGTTTCATTGTTTTACTCCTCTTGTTCTCCCTCTACACCTATGGCCCTTTGTAACTTTACAGATAAAATGAAAATTATCTACACAGCTGCCACAACTGAAGAAACAACTCCAGGAGCTGTGGGAAATGGCATCTACAAAGGGAAGGAGTGCTCCCTTGCAGAGCCCAGCCCCTCCCATGGCGGCCTGGATTCTGGTCCCAAAGCAAATTCCGAAAGCCAGTCTGGTAAACTAGAGAGAGCAGCAAAAACACCAGTCTTGCCTGAGTCTCTCCAGCATTTCTAGTACGTCTATCGCAATCATCAAGCCTTGGCCCGGGAACATAGGGTGTCTACCCAAGAAGCCTCACCTATCCCCAACTTAGAATTTGCTACTTAGACTTGTTCAGTGACTGTAAACTCTATGAAACCAGAAACCAAATCTGCCTCTTGCCAGGATCTCTGTAACAGTGCCTGATAAGTATCTTAAGTCACTAAATTTCTGAACTAACCAATGTATGTGTTTTATCCATTACTCAAATACCCAAATCCCATTTCAAGTTTTGTGACCCAAAAGAGAAATAAATGCTCAAAAATACTGTAAAAGTAGACGTCAGAAGTTCTAATCTAAAAAATTCAGATCCCATTTCTTCCCTTTTGACATGATTGGGGTGATGCTCCTGAAAGCTCAAATTTGACACCAAATATGCAAAAGTGAATACAAGATGCAGTTAGGCAAAACAAACTCAAAAATGGCTAATGAAATAAAAAAACTGGGAGTTAGCAGAGGGGAAAAACATTGACAAGGAGAAACAGCAAACAAACATACACTAACACAATGTTATCTCACTAATCCCCTTTTTGAGTTCACTAGGTATCTGGTTTTAACACAAAGGGCCCCACAACTGAGTACAGCAAACTACTGCCAAAATGAGTGGTTTCCCAATTCAAAGAAAAATATTCAAACAGCTAGAATTCACAACTTTCAAATTATCTCTAATAAAATTTAAACATTTTGCATATCAGATGCAAATAAAGATCACGTAAATGATTAACAATATTAACACTTGCAAAACGTTGATCATGATTCGTTACTTGGGACTTTTGTATCATTTTGTATGTATGGTCAGGTACAAATAAAACCAAGACAATAGTTTGGTTTTATTCGTAAAATGCGCAGGACTTGGCAAATGTGCAGGACTAACAAAGACTCCCAACACCAAAACAAGAATCACAAATTTGGATCACTAACATCCTCTTAAAAATGCAGATCTTCGAATAGGCTAATACCTACCATTTTTGCTGATTATATGCATACATACCTACCTGTTCAAATTGTTTTCTCTATTACCTAATCAACATCATCTGCTAAGAGACTTGGTTACATAGTTATGTAAGAATACATTTGTTTAGCTTTTGGGGAAGATAGGGTGGGACTCAAACTGTCCTTAGGAAGGAATAAAGATAAAAGGAACATAAACATGGAAAACAAAGGTTCAACCATGCCCTGCAAAGGCAGGTCCTAAACCTTCCCTTAGGTTTATACTCCTCATGACCTCTCAAGTCTGGTTTTGAGTCCCTTTTTGAGATATAATCTAGTTATTTTCCTGCTACTTTTTCAAAGGAATTTATTGTATTCCCTAACACCTCTAAGATTAAAAGTAGCTTAAGTCTTAGCCAGGCATTGTGGCTCATGCCTGTAATCCCAACACTTTAGGAGGTTGAGGCAGGTAGATCATTTCAGGTCAGGACTTGAGACCAGCCTGGCCAACACTGTCAAACCTTATCTCTTATTAAAAATACAAAAAAAATCAGCCAGACATGGACGGGCACTTGGAATTCTAGTACTGGGAGGCTGAGACATGAGAATTATTTGAGCCTGGGAGGTAGAGGCTGCAGTGAGTTGAGATGACACCACATACTCCAACCTGGGTGACCAAGCAAGATGTCTCAAGAAGAAAAAAAAAAAGGCCACAGTGGCTCACACCTATAATCCCAGCACTTTGGGAAGCTGAGGAAGTTAGGAGCTTTCTTAAAATCTGCATTTGGGATGCAAGAGTTAGGACTCGAACCAAGGTCTTCTGGCATCTAAGTCTGGCTCCCCATGGGGAAAGCATGGTAGCCCACCCGGTCAGCTGGGCCCTAGAGTGTGGGACAGTCCTACCAACAACTCCCTATGTGACCCCAGGAATGTCCCTGACTCCAGGAGCCTCAGAGTAGAGGTGGTAAGTAGAGCATAACTTCAGGTCAGGAGTTCGAAACCAGCCTGGCCAACAGGGTGAAACCCCGCCTGTACTAATAGAAAAATTAGCTAGGCATGGGATAGGTGCCTATAATCCCAGCTACACGAGAAGCTGATGCAGGAAAACTGCTTGAACCCAGGAGGCAGACAATGCAGTGAGCCAAGATCGCCCAAACTAGGCAAAATAGTAAGACTCCATCTTAAAAGTTTCAGTCTGATTGTCTTAAGGGTAGAGGTGAAAATCAACATAGTACCATACTGCACTGAGTAGCCATGTTTTAAAACCCCAAAGGGGGGGAAAGTTGCTTTTGATAGCAACTTCAGGCTGACCAAGTACCGTCTTCAGAGACGCTAGGAAAATTCTAGATTTCACCACTGATTAAAATAAACCTAGTTCCCTCAACTAATTCAACAGGTATACCAACTAAACTCAGCCTCTTATTATGATTACCAGCCTTAAACTTCCATGGCCTGTTCTAGTGTTAGAAACAGCAGGGAAGTGGCCTTTTAAAAATTAAGGATACCAAAAACCTTTCAATTCTCCCAAATGGGAGATTGCCACTCCCCAATCCCCATACTTTCAGGAAGCTAAAAGCTACATTTTTCCTGTGCTTCTAGTAGTTCTGCCTTCTTCCAAATCCCTGAAAGGCTAAGGGCAATATACAGCACTTGAAGCAGTACCTGGCTACTCTCAGATGCTACATAGATGTTATTCACTGTTTCTCAGTATTTATGTAGTCTAACCCCCAGAGAACTAAGACTATTTAAGTCTTAAAACTCCTGTATCAATAAAGCTCATTTTCTACACATGTAAGGCAGGGCTTGAAAGCTCAAACATGTCTTTCATGTGGATATAAGACCTCATGCATTTTGCACTGTTGTTTTCCCCTAACCATATACTATCCCATACTTATCTCAGGACAAAAAGTAGCACGTCAAAGTCCCTCAAACATTCTAGTTTATCGATAAAAAGAAACTTTTATCCAACCACCAAAACTGCTTTGTAACTGGACACTGTGGTTCACACCTGTAATCCCAGCACTCTGGGAGACCAAGTTAGGAAGATCACTTGTGTCCAGTAGTTTAAGACCAGCATGGGCAACATAGCAAGACCTTGTCTATACAAAAATAAAAAATTAGCCACAAGCAGTTGTGCATGCCTGCAGTCCTAGCTACTCAGGAGGCAAAACTGAGATTGTCTCAGCCCTTGAGGTCAAGGCTGCATGCCAGCCTGGGCAACAAAACAAGACCCTGCCTCAAAAAAAACAAAAACAAGGCCAGGCACAGTGACTCGTGCCTGTAATCGCAGCACTTTGGGAGGGCAAAGCAGATGATTAGGAGTTTGAAACCAGCCTGGCCAACATGGTAAAACCCCATCCCTACTAAAAATACACAATTGGGGCCGGGTGCAGTGGCTCACGCCCGTAATCCCAGCACTTTGGGAGGCCAAGGCGGGTGGATCACGAGGTCAAGAGATCGAAACCATTCCTGGTCAACATGGTGAAACCCCGTCACTACTAAAAACACAAAAAATTATTAGCTGGGCACGGTGGCGCGTGCCTGTAATCCCAGCTACTCAGGAGGCTGAGGCAGGAGAATTGCCTGAACCCAGGAGGTGGAGGTTGGGGTGAGCCGAGATCGCGCCATTGCACTCCAGCCTGGGTAACGAGCGCAACTCCGTCTCAAAAAAAAAAAATACACAATTATCCAGGCACGGTGGTACATGTCTGTAATCTCAGCTATCTGGGAGGCTGAGGCATAACAATTGCTTGAACCCAGGAGGCAGAGTTTACAGTGAGCCAAGATTACGCCATTGTACTCCAGCCTGGGCAACAAAAGCGAAAACTCGTCTCAAAACACACACACAAACCTGTGTCATAACCTTTAAGGTAGGCAAGAAATGTTGCTTTCTAAACACACTACCCTCCTCTTCGCTCTGGATGCTTAAGTAACCTGATTCCAATAACACAGGAGACAAAGGAAAAACATGGGGTTGGAGCACAGACACAAAATTCCAACAACTGATTTTAGCATTCCCTAACCTCATCTTTTGACTAGCTTGAAGGCAACAAAGAATCTATTTTTAAAGAGAGACCATAAGGAACTCCAGGCTTCTGGATTCTAAATGTATTGTATAAAGGTAAGGATGAGTGAACAGCATAGGACTTCTTCAGACAAATGGACAAAAATGAGTTTTATAAGATTTTATTATCAATAACAAACAGCTGCTTTTATGTGTCTGTCCTGCAGCTGTTAAAGAGTGGGAGGACACCCTTGACCCTAACAAGGAAAACAAATTAAGCCTTTATGTACAAGCAAATTTAGAGCTCTTTTAAGTGTCCAAAGCTATTAATTAGTTTAATTGAGGCATTAAACTAATTCTGAATTAACATATTTTAATAACCAAGAACTAAAATGTTCAAATTTTTTTTCTAGTACAAAAAAATTAAAGTTGCTTTAGTTATAAAAGAGCTCTGTCAATATACACAAACTATATACTTCAGACATTCACAAAAATGTGAGTGGGAGGCTTATCAAAAGACATTTAATACAATTAGTTTTCATCAACCCCTCAGTGGTCCACATCTACAAAGATATCCAGCCCAACCCACCCCCGCTTCCAAATCCCACCCCCACAGAAAAGCACATACTTACCAGAATTTTTAGCAAGTATGGTTTGGGAATTTTTGTAGTTTTTGTTTGTTTTTTTTTTAAAAAAAGGCCCCCAGGGCAAGTTATTTACAGTTTAATTGCCACTGTCAACTGATCTGGACCTTGATCGGGACCGGGACCTCTGGCGATCCACAGATGCTGGAGACTTAGATCTACTTGAAGAACCACGTTTCTGGCTCTTCTCAGGCACGGGAGACCTACTAACAGAACGGGACTTGCTCCGGCTCCGGCTCCGGCTCCTGCTTCTTGACCGGCTGTAAGATTTGCGACTACGGGAACGGGATCGGCTACGAGACCTAGAGGAACTTCTGGTCCGAGATCGAGACCTGCTTCTTGACCTACTATGAAAAAAGAGACAAAATGAGCCTTATCTTAGAAAAGATAAGACTCTACAACAAACCCGTTAAATGCAAATGTTGACTTTATATAGAGATACCTGTGCCTTTTGCTGCCTTCAATTAATTTTATTTTTCTCCCATTTATTTCCTTTCCAGAAAGCTTTTCAATAGCATTCTTTAAATCACCATAAGAGGCAAACTCAACCACCCTAAAATGGAAAAAAAGCCACTTTTAAAATACATACATCCTGTAGTCTCACACATTGCACACAGCAGTCTAGATAAGTCCTTTCTGTGTTCACTTTGCTGTTGCTACTATGGAGTCTCATTTCCGGGTTATACAGCATTAAAAAAGCAAGGTTTTGACACTGTTACACTGTGAGCCAATTAAGTGTTGGGGGGGGGAAGAGTTCCTATGCATTGGACGCTCAGCAGGATACCTAGCCCCTACCCACTAGATGCCAAGAGCATCCTCCCTCAACAAGTTGTGACAGCCAAGTATGTCTCCAGACACTGCCAAAGGTGTGGGAGGAGCAGGGGAGGCGGCAAAACTGTCCCTGGAGAATCTCTGCATTCTAATACACTCAAAATTTAAGTCCCCATAACTAAGTTCACAGTAAAATTTTCAGGATATTTTTAAAGACTTCCACAATTTCCAGTACATACCCTTCATTTAATTTAGGTCGATGTGCATCCGCAAACGTTACTTCCCCAGCTTGTCTCATGAAATCTTTGAGATCCTTAACACAAGATAATTGTGTTAAGCAAAGAAGAGGAAAGGGGACACACAAACAATCACATGATATATATATATAAAAAAAAAAAAAAGACTACTGAAAGAGAAGATGTTAGATAAAGTACAAACATGGCATTTACCACACTTGTATTCTATCAGAATTCAAAAATTATCTATGTCAGGGCACGGAATAAGCGAATAGCATATTGCTTTTAAGCAAAATGCTGGAAGAAATTGATTTTAACATTAAGGTAGTATTAGTCTATACTGAGCTCAGCACAAAAGAAAAAACAAACAAAAAAAACAACAAAAAAGGAAAACAGTACATATTTTTAAAGTAAAGACTAAAGTAGAGAAATTTTATTTAAAAAAAAACAGAACATTTACAAGACACCAGTTATTTTGTGCCCCATATGTCATTAAAAAAGTTTACTTTACCTTTATTATTATTTCCCTAGGCTAGTCAAGCAGCAAACCATTAATCGGTCGGAGAAACCTTCATGACATATGCCCGACTGGCTCTTCGCCACCCACTTGAAGGACACTACCCAATCGATGGAAGCCTTTAATCGCACAGCCCTCCCTATTAGCAGACTATTGGCGGATGCAGACATGTTCTACTCGAGCAGTTACCAAGGACCACTTTACTGCGATCAGGATTCCAACGACCACCTAATTTCGTATCTTTCAACTCTTTTCGACCGGACCTCTTATTCGGAAGCGTTACAGGAAGACAGGTCTCAACTTAGGGATCAGATCACGTTATCAACGCTCTGGGATCGCTGCAACCTGGCACTTCAAGGAAGTGCACCGATAACGTCTAGACCGGCAAACACAGATCTAGAGGTGGCCAACTGATCACTGTAGGAGCTGACTGGCAAAGTCAACCAGGCCCAACCAAGAGTGACCAAGACAACGATTAGGATAACCCACAGGCACTCCTCGTCATAAGGCCAACGACACAGACAGGCTGGCAAATAAAGGGTTTAATATTTGGTTAAAAATTGATTTTAAAAAACAAGAAAAATATCCTCAAAACATTTACATTTGATCACTAATATTAAAATTCAAAATATCCCCCAATTACATTTAATTAAATGTTTAAAATTACAATTCCATTAAATCCATTAATTTAAGATAAAATTACTTTTAATAAAATAAAACATTAACTACCCATTAACTTTTTTAAAAAGCCACATTAAAATAACTCAAAATTGTATTTCAACAAACCTGCCAGCTGACTCTTGAGGATAAATTCTCAACTATAAGCCGATTTTCTGTTCTTACAGGTGGAGCATTTCTGAGGAAGAAAATTAGTATTCACAATGGAAGAAATGCAATGACGAGCACTTGTGTTCAACTGTCATCAAATATGACAAGCCATTCTAATGACTTCTGCCAACAGTTTCTGTGTTCTTCTATGACTCATAAAGATTCATCAAGAACAATGAGCTACCATGGGAATAGAACAACAGATTATACAGGCCAGGCGCAGCGGCTCATGCCTGTAATTCCAGCACTTTGGGAGGCCGAGGAAGGCAGATCAAGAGGTCAGCGGTTCGAGACCAGACTGGCCAACACAGTGAAACTCCACTAAAAATAAATAAAAATTTAGCGGGACAAGGTGGTGGGCCTCTATAATCCCAGCTACTCGAGAAGATGAGGCAGGAGAATCGCTTGAACCCGGGAGGCAGAGGTTGCAGTGAGCCAAGATAGTCCGGGGGACAGTGAGAGACTCCATCTCAAAAACAATTATACGGTAGGACCCGGAATCGTCACTGCTAATAACTCCTGAACCTTAAATGCTGCCCCTACAATAATCGTTCAATGCAGCCATCCACCCTTCACATACCGTCTATCATTTCGAGGTCTGCGACTACTAAAACGGTCAGAGTATCGTCCTCTACCTCTTCCACCTCGTGACCGAGCCCTAGCATGTTCAATAGTAACCCTACAAAAACAGAAGAAAAATGTCCATTACACACTTAAATTATATAGATCTACTTAGAAAAACATCCCAGCAGACCCAATTTGCCCTATGTCTCAGGACTCACTAGTTACATAGGAGTCTCACCTTTCACTACAGAGTTCTTTTCCATCAAGCTCATACACAGCATCATCTGCATCCCTCGGATCCTCAAATTCCTAAAACGTAAATACAAGACACTTAACATGGCTTTAAAAGAGTATTCTCTAAAATGCAATAAAAATTAAAAAAAAAAAAGTATTCTACGACATATTAAGAGCACTGAAATCGGAGACAGAATGGGAAGGGGAGTATCTTAACGACACTACCATATAGCAAAACCTAATCAAAGAGCCACTGGAGTGGGTTCCAGTGAGCCGCCAAGTTTAAGTTGTTTTCACCCTCAGTAAAAATCAGACACAAAAATGGGTAACATTTTCTGAAGACAAATATTCTACCTGGACTCAAGATCAAAAACATCTGCTTATCAAAACTCTACCGACTTAGATAATTCAGCAAGTTGTAAACACTTACCACAAAACCAAAGCCTCTTTTCAGATCAATATCTCTTATCCGTCCATATCCCTTGAAGAATCTTTCCACGTCCTTCTCCCTGGCCGCTGGATTTAGCCTCCCGATGAATACTCGACAGCCACTCATGATGTCCGGCTAGTATTTCCTATTAGAAAGTAATTAAATCGAGATAATAGCAATGACTGTCAGAGGATTGCCCGATCAAAGAATCAAAACAAACGGCATAAAATGTTTACCCAGTGATATTATGAACGAGACTGCCAAGAGCGCCTCTAATGAGACCAGTCTCCTTGCGGACAAAACCAAAACGCGGCTCCTTCCCAACACGGTCGCTCCCTGGGCCCGGACGCAGCAACCGCAACGCCCACCGCCACCTCTCCAACTGCGCAGCCGCACACTCTCCGCGGCGCTCTGGCCCCCTCCCATCTGCCGCAGTTAGGAAAGACCGAGAAGTGCGGGCGGAGCCGCCCCCGCCCTCCGCAAGGCCAGCCCAAAGGCGGACTCGCGGGAGCGTCACAGCGGGTGGAAGCAGGAATCTCGCGACGCTACGACCGCGTTTGCGCCAACAGCGGCGGGCGGGCTCTCAGCGGCCACAAAATGGCGTCGCAGAAGCAGCAGCAGCGGAGCTGCGCGAGCCAAACTCCCTTCTCCCGCTTCCTCCCCGCAGCTCCACCGTTCTGGGGTCACTGTGGCCGCACTCAAAAAGGCCCAGCCGCATCGCCAGCAAAGTCAGAGAGAACCGGCCCACTACACGACGGGTCCGGGTAATGAGGGCGTTAAGCCTGACAGGGAGGGGCGCGCAAACGCTGTCAAAACGACCCCAACTGTGACCGCCGTTCCATCTCAATACCCTTAAAACAGTATGCCAAAAAGGAGACGTGCCCCAGCGCCCACCTCGAATCAACTGTGCTCATTTTAGATGCCGTCTTCCGCAAAGAAAGCAGCCCCGGCCACTCACAATATGAGCGGCCATGAAGAAACCTCGATCCGAGAACGGTTGCCCTCAAAGTGAGCCACTCACCTACCGGACGGGGTCTTTGGCGGCTGAGACCCAGACAGGTCCGTAGTCTGCGACGGAGTCGTCGACCTCCACGCAAACCAGGACTTATCTCGTCTACGTCTCTACACAACTGACGCACTTAGCGGCTCTAGCGCTCCACAAAATGGAGGGCGCGTCTGCGTCACTTCCGGTAACGCCCCTGGGTCTTGGGTCCACCCCCTTGGGACCCAGGGAAGAGGGAAGTTTCGCGGGACTTGTGCTTTCTTACCCTGACACTGCGAGCTACCAACCTCTACGCCTGCGGTGGGTGGAGCCGGGGCCGGGAACTCGCTTGGGCGCGGCCAGCAAGTCCCTTACTCAGGAGGGACACCCGTTGAAGTGTCTCGCCCCTTCTAGAGCCTTGGAGTTCGGTTCGTCATCATCTCTCCCAGAATACTCTCCTGAGATAAATTTCACCCCTTCTTGTATCCAGTTTTTCTTAGATACCCAGAAGATTACTAATTAAGAGAAACTTGGCTTTGCAAAAATACCTGGCCTTTCCTTACCTCACCGCTTGCAATTTAAATTTGCCCTCAAAGCCGGGGAGCTCCTAGATGTTCGAGTTTTGTTTTTTTTTTTTTTCAACCATGCCACAGCTGTGTGGTTTAGTTGTACTGAGAAGACTAAGGAACTGAGGTATTTTTTAATTAAAAGGGTTTGAGTGATGAAATGTTGAAAACGGGATTGCAGCTAGAAGGCTGTCTTAAATTGAGGCTGGAATACAGATTTCTGCATTTCCGTCACTCTGGGAGTGACTGGAAGAGGTTTCAAGCCGCTTTTTTAAGTTCAAATAGTATTTGGTTAATGCTCCCCGTTCAGATTTCTGTAATGTAAACATGAAAGTTTACAATTCCTATGTCATGCCTTCAAAGTGGCTGTGTTTGACACAGCCCTCCACATTTAACTCTTGTGTTTTCCCGATAAAATTGATAGCCTAGAAACTTAGGCATAAAGAAATTGGTTAACTTTGCTTTAATGCTTTTATGTAAAAACCAGGACACCGCATTTTTGAGAAGTGCCCGGAATCTGGAGTTGGTGTGCTTGCAACTAGAGTTAAACAGAGGAAAAGTAGTTCAGGAAGGAGAGCAACTGACCGTTAACTCAGAACTGAAACTCGGATAGTTTGTATGGGGTAAGCTTGTCCATTCATAGTCACATGTGCAAATAAAAAGAGCCTCAGTGGGTACATGAAATAATTGTAAAGTTAGTTACCTATGATGTGGGAGTTAAGGATGGGTTTATAAGACAATATGTATTTATGTATTTGTTCATGTCAGGTCTCCATATGCAATCCTGTAGCCTGAAAGTCTGAAGTCCTGCTTGCCTTGGCTGATGCCTCCCAGCCCGTGCCTGCGTCCGACATTGTCCCTGATCGCTTCCCCCGACAAGCCCATCACCCAACCCTGCCATCTTAATTGTTCTTATGATAATGTAAATACCTCTCACCCAACCCTGTTATTGTAACTGAACTTGTGGTCATGTATACTCCTTGCCTCCTACCCCCGACCACTGTAACTGATCTTACTCTGCAATACCCTTGCCCCCCAAAAAACTACCCAAATCTGTAAAACCAACTCCTATCCCACTGCCCTTTGCTAATGCCCTTTTCGGCCTTAGCCCACCTGCACCCAGGTGAATAAACAGCTATGTTGCTCACTCAAAGCCTGTTTGGAAGGTCTCTTCATTCAAAGCGCACATTTTTCAACAGTTCAATTAAAGAAAAAAATGTTATCTGGTTGTTGGCCTGATGAACATTGGCATTTTATAATGCACGAATTTTCCCAAACCAGATCTTGGGAGAAATCACTATCACAGGAACAGTATGAGGGAAATCAACCCCCACGAGCCAATCACTTCCCACCAGGTCCCTCCCCCAACGCTGGGAATTACAATTCAACGTGAGATTTGGATGAGGACACAGAACCAAACCGTATCACTATTGGACTGTTTCTTATCAATTTTTCTAATAAATACAAATTCATCTTCCATGAGCAGAATTACTCTTTCTCCTATGTGATCCTACAATATTCTGTTTATACCCCTGTTATAGAGTCATCACTGATTCGTGTATGTTATTCATGTTTTCCCGAAATGCATAGCACTAAAAAGACTGAATATTTATAGACCTGGATTTGCATGAGCATTTTTTTCAGGTCGTCCTATTCCTATATTGTTTCAACAAAATGGCTTGGCATCCTTTTCCTAAGACATCGAAATTAGAAGCAAATCTTTAAAGGAAAAGATGTAGAGAAATCACAGATTGAAATAAACACAAAATGTATTGGCATCTCTATTGGAGACTTTTAGCGTAACTGTGGTATGTTTCATTCATTGCCATCCTGATTTCATCTAATTCAGAAATGAGCAAATTATGGCCTCTGGGCCTAATTCAGCCTCTCATCTGTTTTTATATAGCAAATGAGTAGTTTTAAATTTTTAAATGGTTGTTAGGAAACAAAAGAAGAAGAATTGATAACATGAGATTTAAAGGTCAGTATCCATGAATAAAAAATTTCTGGATCAAAGCCAATCCTGTTAATTTACTTATTGCCTATATCTGTTGTACTACAAAGACAGGGCTGAGTAGCTGTGGTAGAGACCATGTGGCCTGAAAAGCCGAAAATATTTATTGTCTTGTCCTTTACAGGAAACATTTGCCGATGGGGTGGGGGAGATAAGAGACTGATTGATAGGTACAACCATACAGTTAGATATGAGGTATAAAATCTAATGTTCAATAGCAGAGTAGGGTGACTATATAGTTAACAACAATGTATTTTATATTTTAGGACAGCTAGAAGAGAGAACTTAAAATGTTCCCAACACATAGAGGTGGTATTAACAAAGTATTGAATATCTTAAATACCCTGACTTGATTATTACACATCCTATGCATGTAATAAAATATTTCATATGTCCCATAAATATGTATAAAATGGCTGGGCGCGGTGGCTCACGCCTATAATCCCAGCACTTTGGGAGGCCGAGGCGGGTGGATCACGAGGTCAAGAGATCGAGACCATCCTGGTCAACATGGTGAAACCCCATCTATACTAAAAATACAAAAATTAGCTGGGCATGGCGGTGCGCGCCTGTAGTCCCAGCTACTCGGGAGGCTGAGGCAGGAGAATTGCTTGAACCCAGGAGGTGGAGGTTGCTGTGAGCTGAGATCGCGCCATTGCACTCCAGTCTGGGTAACAACAGCGAAACTCCATCTGAAAAAAAAAATGTATAAAATGTATCAATAAAAAATTTTTTAATTATTTTAAAAAATCATTTCTGACCCCTGAACTGATTCCTAGATTTTCAACTGCTCTATGAATGCTACACCCAACCCCCTTTGTCACATAATAAAACTATAAACAAAGAAAAACCGAAAACAGGGTTTGATCTTGATTTTTAAAATAAAGTTTGATTTCTATTATAAAAAGTATATATATATGCTTATTACAGGAAAAATGTTCAACAAGAAAATATTGAAAGAGGAAAACAACGCTGTCTCACCAACTCAACTTCTGATTGTAGTTTTCTGTATTTCCTTCTTGTGGGTTTTTTTTTTCTGTTTAGTGTTTTTCGATATAAAATAGTACCTCATCATTTTTTAAAACATAGATATGAGATTTTTAAGTCATCCCTATTCCCAGCCCCTAAGGAAAAACTACTTAGCATTATTTAACTTTCCCTTTCATGTTTTTCTATAAGAACAATTGTATTTTCAAAATATGAATCATAGTCATAGGTATACTTGGTTTTAAGAGGGGTTCTTAATTCCTAAAACTTAATCATAAAGTAAAACTTAAAACTCCTAATCTCAAGTGATCTATTAGCCTCGACTTCCCAAAGTGCTGGGATTACAGGTGTGAGCCTCACCAGCCTGACCAACATGGTGAAACCCCGACTTTACTAAAAATACAAAAAAATTCGCTAGGCATGATGACACACGCCTGTAATCCCAGCTGCTCAGGAGGCTGAGGCAGGAGAATCACTTGAACCCATCAGGCAGAGGTTGCAGTGAGCTGAGGTTGCACTACTGCACTCCACACCAGCCTCGGCGACAGCGAGACTCTGGGAGAGAAAAATAAAAATTATGTGCATGTGCATTTTCCATGTTTCTTTGTCTTAATGTTTTATGATCATGAATGTATATTCAACATTTTACTATCATTTTCACTTAACATTACACAACTACATGCCTGGGGAAAACATTCATTCTGACCAACTTTTCTGTTTTTCTGAAAATGTCCTAAATATCACCAGATGCTTAAAAATTGCTATCCAAAAGAAACCCCAACACGAAGAAAAGGTCTTACTTCCTTGCCTCCAGCTTATAATTGTAACGATTTTTTCAAAGTAATAAATATACTTAAGTAATTTCTCTTAGAAAGATATGGGGTTTTTTTAATGTTCACTTTTTTACTCAGGTTCACCTTTATACACCTATCCAACTTCTTTAGATTGTCACGTTCTGATTTTTGTTATTGTTGTTTAGCTTAGTGTACAATATTGAAAATACCTATGAACTTACTAATATGAGTGGCCTAGATCAGAAGGCATCCCATAGCAAGAAAGCATCTAAGAGACAGAGCAGGGGAGGGCTGAACTCACTTTCGTGAGAAACCCACTCTCTCAATAACAAACCGACTCCTACGATAATGGCATTAATCCATTCATGAGGGCAGAGTCTTCATGACCTAATCACCTCTTTTTTTCTTTTTTTTTTTTTCGTTATAAAGATGGGGTGTCACCATGTTGGCCAGGCTGGTCTCGAACTCATGACCTCAGATGATCCACCCATCTTGGCCTCCCAAAGTGCTGGGATTACAGGTGTGAGCCACTGTGCCCAGCCTACCTCTTTTTTTTTTTTTTTTAACTTGAAACTTCAACTAGAGTTCCTTTATTAAAAGAACTAGATCAAACAATAGACTTTGAATGAGAAATTATTTTTCACATCAATTTTACTGTATCACAAACATTTTACAGTACAAGTTTAAATAAAGCAATTGTCTACTTATTAAAAGAGTCTTCACCTCCTAAATAGAAATTGAAGGGGAAGCAATGCTATTAAGGATCACACATAAGGTAGTAGTGGCAGCAGAATTATCTATTAACATTCTCATAACACTAGTCTAAGTGACATTAACATTTTAACCACAGAGCTGCAGCTGTTTGCATGTGTTCTGAAGCTAGCATAATCTTTAAGACAGGAAAAAAAAAACCCTCAAAACAAATTACATAATATTCTATCTAGAAAAATCTCTAGGAAAGCACATTCTTGGGTGAAAGAAAACCACCCCTTTGTCATTGTGATGCACTGAGAAGAGCTTTGGAGCCTGACAGTTTGGCTCCTGGCTCTCCCACTTGTTTGGTAGGGTTCGAGTCACTGTAAAATGTGATTATGTTCCTTCTTCAAAGGATTATTTTGATAATTTAATAAGAATGGATGGAAGGGGCCTAGTAGATAGTAAAACCTGATCAAAATATCAGTAATTTAATTATTTCCTAGAAGCCAATTGAAACATTATAACATCTATTTTCTTGGTAGACCTTATGAGTTTCTTCTCAAAGGCAATTTAAAAATCTCCCTCAGGAAAGCCATGCACCTTTTTATTAATTATGTTTATACTACTAACACTGTTTGGCTAACGATGTAAAAATACTTAAATCATACTAGACACACAAAAAGAGATGCTTCTCAACTTATGGTAGGATTACGTCCCAATAAACACACTGTAAATTGAAAATACCGTAAATTGAAAATGCAAGCCTACCTTAAATATGCTCAGAACACTTACATTAGCCTACAGTTGAGCAAAATCATCTAACACAAAGCCTATTTTATAACAAAGTGTTCTGATGTAATCTATGGATGTTCTACTGAATACGTATAGCTTTGGCACTATGGAAAAGTTCTAAATTGGAGACCATACATAAATGAAAGACTAAAATTGAAAAAGAAAATGTAATAGGTTTCTCTAAATGAGAATATCAAATCCAGAATTACTTAACATATATAGAAGTACACATTCTAATATATGAAAAGATATTTTATCATTATTACTTTACTATATATTAGTATACATCAGCTGCATTTTCTCAAATGGCAAATGAGGCACATTTCTCTTTGATTCTCCCAGGAACCTCAGCATCATCTGTCTTTTGGAAGATTCGGATTCTTACGACATCTGTGATACCGTCCATAAGGACACCAGCAATGCTTAGTAGTAAAGAACATTTTGCTAAGTTGTTCTACCATAGGTCCTTGCTCAAGGGGTTCAACTTTTTCTTCCAATCTCATTTTCAGGATTTGATGGTGTGTTTCTTCATTGTGCACAGGATCTGGCCAAGGGATAGGTTTTGTGTGTTCATATGGGATATCCACAGAAGGGTGGTAACATACTATTGTCCTGCCATCAGAAGTCAGAGCAAGCTTTACTTTGCAATTATAGTCATCTGGTAGAGGAGAATATGTAGATTTATGACAAACACAATATAAAGCTCCATTTTGGATTGGAAATAAATGTTTCAGGGTAGTTTGCTTTGACATCACCCATTTTACTGCAGCTACAGCCATGGTGTTTCAAGATGCTTATCAAGTGATATGAAAAAAGATGGTCTGAAGAGAAATTGCTTTTAAAATCTGCTTCTCGGCATACTCATTTCTA